TTTCTGGTGCTTTCACTTCCAGAGACAGTTGTAAGCACTGTGTAACTGCCTCGAGGGTGCTTGACCATTTTAACACAACGTGGTGCGATGATCCCCCTTACGCGGAGCGAGGGTTCTCGACCCCGCACAACATGATCTACTCGACCACCATTATGGCTACCGCCAAAAAAAAACGGAGATAAAAAAAAAAAGGTAACCTGGTTGCCCGAGTTCACGAAGTGAATTGGCTTGTTTTACAACGTCNNNATAATAAAAAAAAAAAAGGTAACCTGGTTGCCCGAGTTCACGAAGTGAATTGGCTTGTTTTACAACGTCGTTGCCAAGCGACGAAAACCTAATCCCGGTGGCAAACACCGGGGGGGGCGGCTTGTTTTACAACGTCATTGCCAAGCGACGAAAACCCAACCCCGATGGCAAACACCGGGGGCGGCGGCTTGTTTTACAACGTCGCTGCCAAGCACCTCTGTCTGTCTGTCTTGTGTCTGTGACCAGCCTCGATATATTACCCAGAAGATTCCAGCCCATTTCACCATCTCGGCACCAAATTGCATTCTAAGACGTGTTGACAAAAGCAATACTTTGCCCGACCTGCCCCAACTGCTACCTCTTCAATCCGTGCTCGGTGCGTCGCGATAGCGCAGCGTCGGTACCCAACTTGAAGCAGGAAAGTTGCTGGCCCCTTGCAACACCGAGAAGAGGCGTCGTTTGATTTTGAACCAAGACGTGTAGCCTCGTACACCACACACCACACACAGAGAGCCAGACATGGACAAACAGGGAGAGGGAGGCACAGACCACAGCGAGGGCGAGACGGCGGGAGAAGGGTGTGCCATACACTGCTGCTGTTAGCTATCGGCGAAGGAAGCGAGAGAGATTTGGTTGCAGCAGCAGCAGCGGCAGCAGCGGTCTCTTTCTCTCTCTTTCCGCGGAGAGGGGCACATGTCACCAACAACACACAGACGCTGCTACGCACCACCATTGGTGCGACATGTACTGCTGCACGCCTCTCTACACTTTTGTGCGCGAAGGCCTAGTGTGCGACCAGTGCCTCCCGTGCTAGCCTGGTTAGCCATCACACGCTTGAACGCTTTTGATATTTCTCGATCAAACCAATAAGCGAAGCACAACAACAGCCGAGACATTTTTTTTTTAGCTGCTACACCTATTTTTTAATACACCACACCCCTCCCTCCCTCCCGCAGTACACTTCCCTCCCCCGCGGTGTTCGCCATCGGGGTTGGGTTTTCGTCGCTTGGCAACGACGTTGTAATATAGCCAGTTCACCTCGTGAACTCGGTGAAGGCCACCCTGACTCTCGAAATGATGGGTTCGGGTCCGTGTGAAGGTGTCAATTTCTTCGAAGACATTTTTGTTTTTCGGAGTCCATCACATTTATTGGCGCCCCAGCAGTATCAAACGGGGCAATGATAACCTACTGCAGGTATTTTTTTCAACCAAAATAAACTATTCCACCTCCCGATCTAGTAAAGGAAGACGCTTCCCACACCAGCCTGAACAAAAAATCAACGGGTAACGTACCAGCACCAGGCACTACGCACCAGTGCATGGGAGTAACGGATGAACAGTGCTTCGATGTACGACAGGCGATCGCCAGCTCACGATCCGGCTACTCCAGGCTAAAGTGATGG